TCCTTGGACAGCGCAAACAGCTTGCGGATCTGGGGGGGGGGGGTGGGGCCGGGGGGCGGATGAGGGGTTGGTTGATGGCGTTGGTAGGCAGGGTGAGGGGGATACGTGGCGTTTGCATTAGGGGTGGATGCAGACCGGCTGGGCTGCCGCGGGTGCGTGCAGAGTAAAAACATGGGTGATGTGGGTGTATGGCCCTGCTTGCCAACGCTTTGAGCATCAAATTTGTTTGCTTTGTCACCGTCTAGTTTTCACTTCACACTGGCAAGGGGTGCTGGACTTGCTTGGAAGCGCTGCCGATTCGGCCGCGCGAGAAACGCCTCTATGTGCCATGCCGCGTCATGTGATAAAGTGGGGCCGAGCATCACCCAGCACACTGCGGCGCGCCCTGTGTGAACCCTACAGCAGCAAAGCCCTCCAACCCGATGCCCCTCCCGAACGCACCAACCCCCTCAACCCCTGCCGCTCCGCCTTCCGCCAACAGCACCACCGCCACTGCGCTCGCGCTCCTGGGCCGCCCCACACAACACAGCCTCCCCGCCCCACCGCCCCTCCCAGAACATGAGACGGACGACCCCGCCCAACCACCCCAGCCACCGGACCGGCCGTGGTCCGCCCCGTCATCGCCCGCGAGCCCGCCCCGCGGCCCCCCATACCTTGGAGGCGCGCTTGGGGCCGCGCATGCGGGGCTTCTCCTCGTCGGTGAGGCCGGGCAGGTCCTTCTCGCCCTTCTTCACGATCACGAGGTTCAGCACGCTGAGGTCAGACGAGATGATGCAGCCGCGCACCGACTTGCGCCGGCGCTCGCCGTTGCGGCGGCCGTGGCCGCGGAAGCACTGGTCGCCGGGGCTCATGAGCAGGCGGACGCGCAGGTTGGTGAGCACGCCCTGGCGCATGGGGAAGCCCTGCTTGTCCTGGCCGCCCATGATCTTGAACACGTAGCTGCGGGGTGGGTGGGTGGTGGTGGTTGGGGGGGTGAGTGCTAGTGAGGGTGGTGGTGTCCCATTGGGGGCTGTGCAGGGGCAAGGGGGAGCAACGGGTGCTTAGGAGGAGATGTACGTGACTTGGCGCAGCTAGCTGGCCGGGATCCGCGCCCTCGCAATCAGCGGAAGGGCAGATGTGCGGTGAGCCGTCCGCTCGGCTGCGCTGCTCGGCGCCCCAGCCAGCAGCACCTTCAGCAGGCCATGTGCTCGCCGGCTGCCTCGACGGCGCGACCAGACCAAGGCGGCCGGGCGCATCGTCCACTGCCTGCTGCAAAGCCCCCAAAGACAACTCCCGCCTTTTTCCCTGGTTTCAGCGCCGACCACCTCAAGCGCCAGCCAAGCCTCAGCAAGTCATGTGGTCCACCCCTCTGCCGTCACGCCACCCGCTGCCTGCAAGTCGCCGACCCCTGCCCAAACCGCTCACCCCTTGAACTCGTCGCCCAGCACGTCGCCCTCCACCTCGGCGCTGACGCGCTTGTCATAAAAGGCGCGCAGCTTCTGCTCGTCATCGATCTCAATCTTCTTCTGGCACCCCGTGGCGGGGTACGCGATGTTGAGCTTCATGGCTCAGGATCGCCGCCCGCGCTTCGCCGGCTGCCGCGCGATGCGCCTGTGGGGCTGCACGCTGCCTGCCTGGTGAGGAGAGGGAGCAAGCGAGAGCGCAGTGAGCAGTGCAGCAAGGCAGGTGCAAGGAAGTCGTGGGCAAGAGGTGCGAACCAGCGGCTGCTGCTGTTGCTTTTGCTGCTGCTGCATTTCTGCTGCTCATAGCTAGGCACCATGCGCCGGCCCGCGGTTTAGCTGGGAGATATAATGCTGCCAGCTGCTGCTCTGCCACACCGATGAAGCGCAGGATATCTAGCAGCTGCTGCTGGGATCGCCGGCTGCGCCGCCGGATGACACGGCATGCTGCTGCATGTGTCCCTTGCTGCATCTGCTGGTGCCACCGCTGGACCTGGCTGCAGAGGCACATGCCAGAACGGGCAACCCAGGAAGACTGCGATGCCCCGGGGTGCAGCCAACAGCGACGGCGGCAGCAGCGCGCCGCTTGCGCCGTGCTGCGCTGCGCCGTCATTGGCGCATCGACGCCTGCGGCGAGCTCTGCATCAAACGTGTACAGGAGACTGGTATCTGCCATGCCTTCTCAGGCAAACTGCAAGGTACTGCAGCTGAGAAGCAGAGCCCACAGATCGAGTGCCACTCGCCCTGGGCATAGAGAGCTGAGGCTGCGACGTAACAAATCTGCAGCAACCCTTTTCCTCCTGCACATCTGCTGCCTGCGAGACGCGTGCAGGACTACTCTGCTGCTGGTTGCTGCCGCCGCTGGCCTCGCACAGCATCGATCTGCAGGAACTGTAGAGGTCCGAGAGACACTATAACCAGCTACACCCCACTACTGCCTCAGTTCTGCCTATCCACACGCGCCGTCGGAGCGTGTTCGCGTCCCCAGCACGTTGCTTGCCCTCACCTTGGAAGCGTGTAGGGCTTCCTGAAAGAGACCGGTGACCACGCGTGCAAGGGGTTTGGCTCGCCAGTGCCGCCCTGCTGCAAGCGCCGCCTGCAGAGCTCCCGCACGAGGATGCCGCTGCGCTCGCCACATTCATGCCCAAGTTAACCCGCCCATACACCTGACCTCAATGCTAACCAATGGCGCATGATGTCAATCATCCACGTCTTCCCTCTCTCTCTCTCGCTCACACACGCAAACGCACACCTGCCCGCACGCACGCACACACCTACATATTCACAGCACATCCTCAGGCCAGTCACTGGCAGCGGCCCCCACCAGCCTGCCACCCAGCTCAAGATACCCAGTGTCAAATAGAGGTCAAGCCGCTCTTCTGACTCGTCTCCCCTCAACATTTGGTACAGAACATCACATTACCAGTGTTGTTGTGTTGCTGCAGCAGTGCTTGCAAAAGACCCAAGACAAGGTCACATGATGGGCAGAGGACAGCAGCAAGCTGGAAGGCTGGGGGCGTGGCCACCCGTCGCACGCGCATCGGCGCGCAGGCGCCCAATTCATCTGCTGGCACGTGCGGACCCGCAATCGGGCACGCCCATTGAACAGGAGGGTGGGAGAGAGTTTGAAAAAAAGGGGCGCCATAACAACGACGATGCTGATTGATGCGGGGTTGACCCCAAACTGGAAGACTGATGTGTGCCCCACGAAATGAAACAGTGCATGCCCCTGGATTGCCTTGATGTGCCCATTGGTCTCTCACAATGGCTGCCGTGATGAGTGGGGTCAAAGCGGCTGACGTGCCGTCGGTCCACCGCCCATGCTGCGGGCGGGACGGGCATTGCTGTTGAGGCGGTGTGCAGCCCCTGCTGCATGGTCATTGATCGGCCAACAACTAAGGGAGGCATGGCCAGGCTCGTGCGGGCCAACACGGGGCCGTGGACAGCTGCGCTGGGCCGTGCCGGGCATGGCGTTGCCAGCACCCTGCTCGGCTCAAGGGGGTGTGTGCCTCGCGGCGAACGCAAGGCGCAAGGTGACGTGTGCGCCGCTACTCTGGACAGCGCCAGAGGGGAGGCCGGACACCCCGGAAGGCGCAGCGGCGACCAGCGGAGCGGGAGTTGGGGGAGTTAGGCAGGTGAGAAGAGGGGCGACCGAGGCCGAGGCGACAGCTGCCAGGTGCTGCAGCTGGGAGCCCCTGGCCGCGCCTCAGATCGGGTCGCGTCGGCGGTTCTTGTGATGCCCAGATCGCGCCCTAGATATGAAGCCGGCGCGCCGCACCCCGTCCACGGCGTTTAAGCTACCCCCGGGCAGGCGCTGCGGGCTCTGCCCTGCGCGTCCCACAGGCCTAAAGGGCCCCGCAGCCACTTTCGCACGTGCGGCGTGCAGGCGGAAGTCAACATAGCAGGGTCCGGGCTGCGGCACGGCGTCGCGCGCGCCGTTTGCAACGTGCAATGTGCACTGGCGTGCGAGGAGCTCGCTTCGTGGTGCGGCCTCTGAAGGGCGGCCGGGCCAACAACAAAGAGGCACATGCGGGTGCATATTGGCGAGTGAAAGGAGGGATGTCGTGCATGGGTGCGCGAGCCGCAACGCAGACAAGCGGGCGCAGCTGGCAAAGGGGTCGAAGTGCAGCGCCCGCTTCCGTGCTGCGCACGGGCGCCAGCCGCTTGCACTGCCGAGTTTTGCGTGTCCCACGACCGGCGCCCGCGGCGGCGCGCCGCCACGGTCACGCCGGCACCCGTGCCGCAGCAAACGCATGCTGCTGCTCCGTGTAGAGGACCTCCCCCAGCCCCGCGCCGCCCGCCGCGGCGCCGGCCCCCGCGGCCGCGCCCGCGCGCAGCGCGGCCAGGATCGACGGCACGTCGTCGCAGATGACGCCGTGCACGCCCAGCATCCCCTGCTCCACCACCCACTCTGGGTCGTCGTTCTCCCGCCCGTAAGTGAGCACCTTGAGGCCCGGCGCCGCCGCCGCGACGCGCGACACAAAGCCCGGCTCCGCCTGCAGCGCGCCGCTGTCCACGATCACGCCCGCGAGCCCGCCGCCGGCGGCCACCTCGAGCGCGGCGCCGAGGCTCGTGCGGCGCAGGTCCGCGTGCGGCTCGGTGCCGCCGGTGGACAGGAAGAGCACAGGCCAGCGGGACTGGCGGGCGCGGAGCTCGCGGCAGACGTCGGGGTCGAATGAGCTGAACACGACCTGGCGCTCCCCTGCAACCGCAGCCGCGGCGTCGACGCCGTTGTTTGAGGGCGGGCACAGGCGCTCGACGGCGGCGAGGATCGGCCCGACGACGCGGTTGACCTCGTCTGGCGGCGTGACTGCCAGGTCGTCGGGGGTGGCCATCTTGACTTCGATGTCAAAGGCGACGCCAGGCGGAAGCGCCGTGAAGACCTCCTCGAGGGTGGGGAACCCCTCGTCCCGCGCGCAGCGCCACGCGCGCGGCGGGCTGCGGCCGCGCGGCGGGCTCGCGCCG